AAGTATTAAGGGTGTAAAGGTTTAAGTGGGGATTGAAGTGGAAGACTTGAAGAGAAGAAGGGATAGGGAGGAGGTTTAGCCAAAACTATGTATACTTGAAAATGCCATATGGAAACCTACTATTTGATATGTGTGTCGTGTGTGTGTGTGTGTGTGTGTGTGTGTGTATAGTTTGAATGGAGGTACCCTAAATGGGTGGATGATCCCCTTCCTGAAGCCATAGAATATTGAACAAAAATCCCAGTGCCAGGTAGGAGATACCTCACTAGGAGTTATCGGTCATGAAGGTCCCAGAGGCCACAGAGTCTCCTCTCAGCAAGGTGAGTACCATTGCTCTTGATTAGTAAAAGGTAAGCCCCTATTGCTCAAGCTATCATACGCCCCATTGCTCAAGCTGCCATACACTTGGTTTTAGGAAATAGAGAGGTCTGGCTGGAACTGGACTGGAAGGCTATGTTCTACAGGCTAGTTTTCATGGTGCCAGAACTATATCAGCTGCTGGGGAAAAAAAAGTCATCAACAGGTTTACCCAGCTGTGATCCCTGCAAATACAATATTGACCTTTCAAGCAAAAGGACCCACTGGTGCAATGGTGGTGTGATTATTATGAGGTTAATCAACCACTTTATGATTGGATTTGAGGCTCACTCCATGAGAGGGAACTCATGCTTCATACTGTAAACTGGTCAAAAGCCTGTGACTAGAGAGATTGTTTACCCTATGGTCCATGGATCAGTAACATTGGTCTTAGATTATAGTGTGTTGAATTGTTCATTTGCTAAATGATACTGTGTTTGTAACCATAGATTAGTGCTGTTCTTGGTGTTGTTCAGAGAGTTTTTTTTTTTTACAGGTATTGGTTAATGCAAACACTGGTAAGTGGTCAGTGTGCAGAGAATAAGTCACTATTGAGTGCTCAGCCCTAAGTGGTACATCTGCATCATTCCTTTCAAGCTGCAGGGAACAATGTAGAAGAGAGAGCAGAAACCATGTAAGAGTTAGAGCACAGCGAAAGTGCTGCAAATGATGGTTTCAAGGCATGGCATGGCCCTTGAAGTCATGAACTCACCAGAACTGTGCTTCCCTGCACGAGACTGGGCCTATCAGCACTGAACCATGTTTAGAGGAAGGCTCCTGATGTCCCCTGGGACACTGGCAGTTATTGGTTGCTGGGAGAAGAAGGAGTCATTTTCTTCAGTGATGTAACTGCAGATAAGCTGCCCATGTTCCAGTAAATAACTCCCCCCCCTTACCCATGCATATGGAAGCAGCTCTAATTTTCATGACTCGGTGGAGCATAAAAAGTAACAGTTGAAGAAAGAAAAACACGAAAGTAGGAGGGGACTTGTTGAGAAGAGTAACTTGAGTGGGTGAGGACAGAGGACAAGAGGATAATTAGGGGATGAAACAAGAATAATAAAAGAAAGATGAAACTGGGGGGAAAATAGCCCATCCTGTTGGCGACTGGGATTCTCTGGGAAAGGCACATGCTGACAAGACGGGACAAACACATCCATCACTGTAGGCTTCCCTATTTATTTACATTATGTTAAATGAATTAATCCTTAGAAATAACATTCCTTTTTCAGACTAGTAAGAAAACTACCACCCAATCTCAATGACAGGAGAGTAGAAAATTGTTTTGTTTTTTTTTTTTTTTGTGGTCATTATTTGCATATAGAACCTTATCACAATACTTCAAAAATTCAACTGTTCATAAAGGCAAACCTTTCTTCCTGACCGTTTGGTGAGAAGGAATGGAAGCAAAAACTGCAGTACAGTCAACCATCCCCCAAAAGACAAGACGGGATATGAAAGGAACTCTCTATATGTTTTTATTAGCATGGACATGATATTAGGCTGAACTGTATAAAATTACCAATGCTTAAGCTTTTGAAAACCTTCAAAAGCAGTAATTTCCTGTGTGTCAATTTGATACATGAAGCTCTTGGGGGATAGTCCTTTACTGACCTCTTTCTCTGTGACATTCTGCTGATGATGCTAAGGTTTCTGGAAAGACAAACTCTCAGGTCAGTTGTCTGTCTACAGCAAGTAAGCAAACTAGCCATCAGTAGGGTGAGGAAGTGTCTTGTTGTGGATGGAGCTCAGATTTACTGGCTGTTTGGTCCCAAGCTTAGTGTGTCTCTCCCATAGCAAGTCTCTGCCTGCCACCCTGTAATTCACTGCATCTTCCCCTTGAGACTTGGGTGTGCAGGATATGGATGTACATATACTGGTGTTTGCACACATTAACTTGCTATGTGAAAAGAATGGTCTTGACTTTTACCCAGGAATTTGATGACTTCTAATATCCGTGAAAATTACAAAATCATTTCTTGACTTGAAAGTAGGGTAAAAATCAAATCCCAGCCTCAAAAACAACAGTACAGGATAGTCTCAAGATTATAGATTATAGGCACTGCATTATCGTATAGTGTTTTCAAACAATGACCATTTTATACCAGGAGTCTGAAAAGAACTTTTTCATTTATCGTCTTTCCAACCTTATTCTTGGGACTCTTTCACAAGAAGTGAAAGTTTCCGGGAGAAGCTAGAATCAGGTCATGACCCCCAGGCTTTCCTTTTAAATCCCATATCAATTTTCTAGGAAAGGGATCCTGTAGTACGCAGGCATTCAAATCATTTTCTTTTTAAAAGCCCTGGAACTAACACCCTGGATACATGAACAGCAATGACCTGAGATTACAAACATGGTGGCCTGCATGCTTCTTCAATGTGGCTTTGAGTGGGTAACATCAGCTTTCTTCTTCTTGAGGCTGACCATTGATGAAAACTAACTAGTTTCCCCTCAACAATGCTGCATTGTGAAGTTGGCATTTTTATGTAAATCTCTGTCCCTTGATTCATTAAACTCCACTGCCCCTGACATTTCCTTTCTGACCCTTATCAGCCACACACTAGGAAAACATGGAGAAAGAGAGAGGACAAAGGAGGACTATAAAAGGGCTACAACCAGGAAGTGTATTGTGACCATGGCCAACAAGGAAATTTAGAAACGGGTGACTAAACACTAGGGACACCCTGTCAGCCGGTCACAGAGGCATTTGTTGAAAGCCTGTCAAGTTCTTAGCACCATTTCAAGGTGTCACATGGAGATACATAGGAAATGACAGCCTTGGAGGCTGTTTGAAGAAAACTTGAGATTTAACAGACGAGATGGTGCAGGTAAGTGCCCTGATAGCCACAAACATCTGAGCTGGCCCTGTTTAGCTCTCTACTCTGTTCCATCATAGCAGTTGGATTATTTAGTTTATTTCTTTGTGCTCTTGCTATATGGCTTTCACTAAGCTGGGATTTTCCCTGGATGAGACAGTGTGTCCATTCCAATTACTCATGGTAGCTATCTGGATTTCACTCACTGTAATATAAGATCCAGATACATGTGCACTATGTCTAGGCACCATTGTGAATGCCTAGCAATTTAAAAGACCTAGGTGACTCCAAAATTAATAATAATAATCATATAAACAGAAAAATTAGGTAAATATTTAAAGCTAGTGGCAACTTCATAGACAAATTATATAACCTATTTTCTAAATGGTGCTATTAACCCTTGAGTAAAAAGGACTAAATATACAAGCAAATTTCTAAAGACTTGGATGGTAACAACTAAAACTAGACCCATGGAACTTATGTGTACTTCCTTTCCTCAGTGAATATTGGGATCATACATTCAAAATGATAAGTAGAACACAGAATCTCATCACCTAGGTTCTAATTAGATTCCAAGCACAGTGGGATTCTACTGCACACTCAGAGAGTAATAACAATCAAAGTCGAGCACGTTCCTGCTGAGCTGTCTCATCTCCAAAGCTAAACAGTAAGGTTCAAGCCTGTGACATTCAATACCAAGTAAAGTGATTTAGGTGAAGACCCCAGTCTTTACGTGTGCTTCACGATGTACTTTGCCTCACCCTTGGACTCTTGACTCAGACAAGTGACTTCCTTCAGCTAGTGGTGTCCTGGCTAGGTTTCTATTGCTGTAATAAAACACATGACCTTAAGCATCTTGGGGAGGAAAGGATTTATTTCTCTTATATTTCTGTATCGCAGTCCACCACCAAAGGAAGACAGAGCAGGAACTCAGGGCGGGAATTTGGAGTCAGGAACTGGAGCAGAGACCATAGGAGTGGTGTTTACTGGCTTGCTCAGTTTGTTTTCTTGTACACTCCAAGACCACATGCCCCAGGGAAGCACTGTTCACAATATGCTAGGCCTTCCCACCTTAATCATTAGTCAAGAAAATGCCCTACAGATTTGTCTATAAATCATACAGAGGTATTTTCTTGATTAAGATTTCATCTTTCCAGATGACCCTACTTTGTATCAAGTCCACATAAAAGCTAGCCAGCACAAATGGGTTGTTAATAAATGTGATACAGGTAGAGATTTGAATAGGGCCTGTAGCCTGGGACTTGATTCCCTCCTACATGTCAGGCCAAACCTGTTGGGGAAAGAAGATCCAGGGAGCATGAATATCACCCCTAAGCCCAGTTCAGCCTGAGCCTTCTCAACCAGCTGCCTACCACTGAGCTCAGCTGCATCAGCAGCACCAAGATCAGCAGAATTTTCTCACTGGTGTACAGGTGCACGCTCCACTGAATTTTAGAAGGGTTTAGTTTATAGCTTTATAGTTGTTAATAGCTAAGTAATACAACAGTCTCACAGAGCAATAAAAATTAATTACCAGCAAAACAAATGTTTAAAATGCTAGCATGACTCTTTATTAGAATATAGAGCAGTTTTAGTTCCAGGGTTTGGTTTCTGCACAACACACACCCTCACCCTAACCACATCCCTGTCATTGGGGCTAAGCAGGCCAGGGTAGGACACACTTAATGGAGAGATGTGAAAAAGTACACCATGGTTAGTGCCGAGACCGTGATTGCCTCCTTTCTGGCACTGTTGGTGGGCCAGCAATTCTCATACACATTATCAAGGAATAAGAAAATGGTATCCCTGGTCTCCTCACATATGCACTAGATCAGAGCAAAGCCATGAGTAGCATTGTCCATTAGCTCAAATGTGTACAAGAAGGGCATCCCAATGTCTCCATCCCAGCTTTTTGAGGATCCTGACAGCATCTATAAATGAAAACAGAAAGGTAAATGTAGACTTCGAAAGACAGGGTTCCATTGCCATGCCATCGAATAAAGGCTTCCCTGGTAAAATGAAGGAGCTGTTCCTGATTAGGACACCTCCATCCTTGGTAAACAGCCCCTATGGAAGCTGCATTTTATTTGGCTCCTTGCTCTTCCTTGTACCTGGAACATTACAGAGATTTGGTTCAAGTTTCTCAGTTGATCAAAAAAAAAAAAGGCAGAAATAAATTTTAAGACAAGAATGGAATGGGCTAATTCTCACAAAGGAATTTAAAAAACAAACAGACAAATGATTAACAGGACAATTATGACACAAATATTAGCTAGGTGGGCCCAAGGAGCTAAGGATGGGGTTGTGGGTAGAGGAGTAGTGTGGGGATTAGGAGGTGGGTGTGAGGGTGTACTTTAGATTTGGAAAAGGAGATGCACTGTCAGCTGAAATCTCTCTTTTGTCTACTTCCCCAGTCTTAACCCTGATCTGCTTTCCTGGCAGGTAGATCCTCTGGGACTGCCACCAACTGACCAAGGCTCAAAGGACAATCCCTTTCCTGTTAACTCCTGTGCCTTCTGACTTGCCAGCTCTTTTAAACTCAAGCCAGGGAAAATTCTGGTTTGAGCCAGTATATCATTGTTTTTCCTTTGCACTCACTTGGTATCCCCAGAGAGTACAATACTGAATCACACAGACTTCCTTTTATCCCTGGTCATTCTGATTCCTAGAGCTCTCTGTGGGTCCTAGAAACTCCTACTCTCCTGCCCATCTCACCTTCTAAACTTCATTGATTTCTTCTGTGCCTTGGATACCATTAAAGAAGAAGAAGAAGAAAAAGAGAAAGAGTATTCTTACATAAAATATCTGCACTTGATCCAACTCTGTAATTGGTTCCATGCTTTGCTTTCAGGGCGCTTGCTGCCTTCTGTCCAACTTGAATCTGTAGGTGGGAAATGCCGAGAGAGCTGCTGATAAAAATAAATCCGACAATCCAAGAGTTTTATATTTTTTACAGATCTATTCCTGAGGTTTTGGACTATCTCTCTAATTGCCCCCCACCCCCCGCTGGGCATTTAAGTCTAGGTAGCCTGTTGTTACCCCGCACTAACCACACCCACATTTCTTTTCATTATGTCTTCCACCAATGAGACTGTTCTGACTTCCCTATTTCTTTTCCTGCATAATGGTACTACGGCACATGTGTAAAATTCTGTAGTTTTCTTCAGCATCTTTTTCCCCTTCTTCAAAGTCACCGATGTGGATTTCATTGCTACTACTCTATCTCAGACTCATTACCCCCAAATTAATCTGTTGCATCTTCTAATACATTTCTTTTCCTCCCATCAATCTTTATTTCAGTTGATCCCACGTGGCTTCCAGATGTGCATATCCATGTTCTTGATCCTGCTGAAAAGCTTTCAGTAACTGCTCACTGCCCACTGAATTAAACACAGACTGCATAGCCTAGATTTTGAGATCCTCTACAATGTGTTCCTAATCCATCGTTCCAATAATAAATCCTATACACTTACACCACATTGTAAAAAGCTTCCTTACTGTCCCTTAGCTTCTCCTTCTGTTCTCAGGGTGTTACCTCTACCTAGAATTCCTACCTAGCAGAATTTACCCAACCTTGAGGGACTTCCTCAAATGTCAGCTTCTCCATACGTCTTTTCGTGATGTCCCCACTAGATTCTGTTTCTTCTCTTTCACATCTCTTAGTTCATAGTCTCTTGTGGTTTCACTCACTCACTTTTTCTTACAGATGTTTGAACATCCCTCTACTTCTGCTTTTTCTGATTCTACAAGAAATCCCTCTGAACTAGATGATCTGTTAAGTGTCAGCTATCCTTTCTGCAGATTCTTTCCCAAGATCAGGCACTACTAAAGCTCATCATTCATCAGACTTCTGCTAAGTTCTCTTCTTCCTGACCTCCTGATAAAACTTTTCACACATGACTGTTGACAGACCTTCTAAGTATGTCTGATTCCAGACATCCCAACATGATAGCCCATCCTCCAGATGCTTAGATTCTACCCAGACACCACCGAAACCCCTTATTATTCCTGCCTGCACTGTGATGTCCAGTGGCGTTGGTCCCAGGCTCTCAGTTCCCTCTCAGACCAGCTGGCCTGAAATCCAGCCATTGCTTGTCAGTTCCCCAGACTCTCTCTGTTAGTAATAGCCTAGTTTTAGATTCCCTTTCTCCTTTCCTTTTTCTGTAATTCACGGAAGAGGGCCAAAATGTGATGGAGTGGTGCTTGGGTAGAGCTGGAAGGAGACCAGAGAAATTCCAAAGGAAAAATTAAGTAGTGGTGGTAGTGAAGGATAGGGTAGCAGCAACCTTTAGGTACTTGGGACATTCTGTATGGGCTACACACACACACACACACACACACACACACACACACTAAACATATACTCATACACTTATACACATACTCATACACATGCAAACACACACTCACACTCATTCATACACACATACACCCACGCACAGACACACACACACACACACACATTTGAACACTTTTGCAAGCTTCTTACTTCTCTCCCCTCTCTGCTGGTAATTCTTTTATCTCCGGTCACTCACCTATTCTTTCTCTCTTTTCATCCAAAACAATTCTGAGTCTGTCTCAGTTCCTGGGGTTGTCTTGTCCAGAGTAGAGAAGTGGGTTAGAGAAAGCTGAGGAAATTCTAGGAATAAAGCAGTCACATCATTCAGTCTGGGAAGGGGACATTGTGAGAGAAGGGGAGGGGAAATTCTAGTAAGAAAATGAGAACGGGCTGAAGAAAGGATGCAGGGAGCTGCTGGGTGCCATCAGTGAAACACAGAGCAGTTCTGGGACTGGTGGACAGTGAGTCACCAACTATACTCACTTGTGAAAGTCGTCTGGCAAAGAAATAAATTGTTCCTAATCATCTTAAACTGACATTGTCCCTCTGCCTCTCTGAATGAAATTCCATGCCAGCTGGTCTGAGAGGGTCTTTATCTCTATTTGTGTCACATAAATCAGCCCCTGGCCACATTTTTAAATCCAAATTATTCCTTGATTCTGTGTGTGTGTGTGTGTGTGTGTGTGTGGTTGTTGTTTTTTCTGTTTTCATTTCTGAAGCTCACCCCAAACAACTACTCCATGGTTAGCCTGTATTTATTTTATTCTCTCTAATTCACTTACTTAACATCTTATGATTGGGATAGCAAACTCATTTTCACTTCTTTGTTGGCAAAAGAATTTTAGGATTTTTTTCTATTATTAATTATATGGGGAAGTAGAAAAAAGAGAATCATGATTCTCAGCCTAAAGATAGACTTGCTCCTTTCTGAGAAGATGAAATGGAGATTCCATAGATTTCTTTTTGCTGTTTTGTTCAATTTCTGTTTCATTTTGGTTTATGGTCTTGGGGGTTTGTTTATTTATTTGTTTGTTTTGTTTTAATTTTTGAGATAGGTTCTTACTGTGTAGGTCTAGTAGGCTTGGGACTTGCCTTGTAAACCAAGCTGGCCTTAAATTCACAGAGATACATCTGCCCTTGCCCCACATCAGGCCAAACACTCCTTAGATTTACTTCGTCTCAGGGCAGAATTCCTGAGTAGACTTTTCTCCTGAACTAGACTGCGTGACCATATAGAGTTGTTATCTGTGACCATCTTTTCTACTTAAAGGTGTTTCCTAGAAAAAATGATAAAACCTCCTTTCTAGTGGAACATGATATATTGCTAAAGCCCTCTGGCCTACTCAGCAGCCCTGGCTCTGGGCTGTAAGGACATTATCTACAAGCAGATGTTCAGATGTTTTGGTTAAAGGCTCTGATGTGTAAGAAGAAACCACTTGAGACAGAATAGAGACACTGATATGCAGACAGTTCAAATGTAAATAGTTCCAGCACATAAAACAATAAAATTCTGAACACACACACACACACACACACACACACACACACACACACACAATTGTTTACCACATTGCTTTAGCTTTTCCCTAGGAACCCAAAAAATGCTGCCAAGACTGAATAAGGTTGACACATAGTGCAAATTTTTCATACTTCCTATCAAAGTCTGAAGATAAATAGTTGTGCCTACTATTTGCTACTCAAGACTGCAAAACACACAGAAAAAATTGACTGGTTCCTACGCATGGAACCAATGATTTACTAATATTTTCATTTTAGGATTACTTTCCTGATCCAAGTCTCTCCCTGTAGCCACAGAGCTTAAGCAAGAAAAGCAATCAGTGACAAGAGACCCTCTGACTTTTCAATACAGATCATGTAATATCTCTATTCATGAACCAAAAGGAATGACATTCCCATGAAAACATATTGAGGTATTATATTGAAAGATGATAACCTTCCCATGAAGACCTTTCTGTTGGTCAAAGACACCTTTCCATTGAAGATCTACAATGTCTCTGGAGATCTGCCTGGCTTTGCTACAGTTCTCTCAAAGAGTAAAAGAAATCTTTAGTGACTATCATGGAAACTGGGGAATGGGTCTAGTTCTGGGCTTCATAACTAATATTGTTCCTTTATATTGTGTATTTTGCCACAATTAAAATGGAAAAGACTTGGTTGAATAATGATAGTAAACATTACAACAGTTCTGCCTTTGCCCTCTATTTGACTTGTGATTATTGTCGGAGGATTCACAAAAGGGCAAAGAGCCCAGCTCTTCCCAGCAAGTCAACCGACCAGAGCCGGGGCAAGCACAGCTTCAGAGAAGGACCTGGAAAAAACAAAGCACACTCTCCCTGCCCTGGCTTGCATTTCCCTGGCACTTCCTCTTACAAATATTCCCGGGCAAACACTACAAGAAGTCTAGAAGAAAACAGTGCATTGTGCTTAGCAGAAGAGAGAGCAGATACTATTTAGCTGTGTTATTTTAGATGCGCCATATTCCGCTAACAGCTGGCAAGTTTTTAAGCATGGTTCAAAAGCTGTAATAGCTGAATGGAGCTTCAGGAGAACATGCAGAAAGGAGAGCTCATTCCTGCACATTACTAACATAACCTTCTCATTTATATTAGAGCTGAACCTCCTAAGATGTCTCCCAACTTGACACTTCATGAAACAGGTAGTTAATTAACGTAGGTAAAGCAGCATTTAACCCAGAGTCTTCCCGGCAGGCATCTGGCAAGGTACAAAAGGCAAAAAAAAAAAAAAAAAAAAAGAAAAGAAAAGAAGGATTGGAAGTAGGGAAGGGGATGGAGAATATAGCCAGAATCTCTTGGAAATGACAATTAATGATGGCAGGCAAGTGACCCTGTGGAGGTTTGTCCAGAGGCCTTGGCACTGTGGAGTTACTAGTTCCTTGTAGTGACTTGGTTTATTTTTGGGGTAGCCATATGGTGTGAGAATGAGCTGCCCGTAGGAGCACATGGTCAGGAAGCACAGGTTGTCTTTTTTTTCCCCTTGCTTTCTATAAGTCTTGAGACAGAGTTAGTCTCTGGTTCTGACATCGGTTCCGTCCCACAGAATGTTACATCTTGGCAGTTTATGGATGTGCAGATACCTGGAAAATACAGCAGGTCTTGGAAAAAACGTCATGATCTCAGTTTACAAGTGAGCCAGGGTGAGTAGCAAACCTTGGTACTCACAGTACTCAGACTTGTCTTTGGCTCTCAAGTCAGTCCTGTAAGTTAATCAACTGTGTTACCAGCCAAGGACAAGCCTGAGTCTCATCAGAGCTATTTTGAAAGAACCCAGATAGTCTGCCCATGTTAGTAATAACAAAGTCCCCTATATGCTAGGTCAGTGCTCCTCCTATGTGGCATCATATTTAACACACATAACGGACTATGGATAAGGTGGGATTATGTGGCCAATGTTCAAAATTATTTGTTCAAAATAAAGTGATAGAAAAAAAGAAACAGAAAAATGAAACACTTTTTCAAGACCACCAAGCTATGGAGACCACATCTTTAACCTTTGCCATATGGTGAGTGGCAGTGTTCTTACTCCTAATTCTTCATTTGATGCCAATGCTTCGAGCATATCAAGAGGTGGAAACACAGAAATGTCCGAAGGAGAAGAAAATGTTTACTCTACTTGCTGTCTGCCTCCTGCTGCAAAAAATATCCAAAATACACTTAGCGTTCTGGCTTTAATCTTCTTGATGGTGAGCTATATACTTTAAAACCAAGTGATGGCTTAAAACATATTCTGACTACTTGATAATTTTATGTCAACTTGACATAAGCTAAAGTCATCTGAGAAAAGGGAACCTCAGTTAAGGAAATGCCTCTATAAGATCAGGCTGTAGGAAAGCCTGTAGGACATTTTCTTAATTAGTGATTGTTGGGGAAGGACCCAACCTATTGTGGGTGTTACTGTCCCTCTGCTCTGTAAGAAAACAGGCTGAGCAAGCCATGGGGAGCAAGCCAGTAAGCAGCACTCCTCCATGACCTCTGCATCAGCTCCTGCCTCCAGGTACCCACCTCGTTTGAGTTCCTGTCCAGACTTCCTTCCACGATGAAGACTGATGTGGAAGTGTAAGCTAAATAAACCTTTCTCTCCCCAATTTGATTTTTGGCCATGCTGTATCACCAGACTGTCCCGACCTGACAGCTTCCAATAAAGGCACAGAGATTTCTATTTATTTATGAATGCTTAGGCCTTATAGCTAAGGCTTGATCCCTACTAGCTCATATAACCTAATAACCCATTTATACTAATCCATCTTTGCCATATGGCCCATTATCTCTAATTTAGTTCCCATACATCCAACTTCTTCCATGTCTGGCTGGTGAATCACTAGGGCCTGATTCTTTCCCAGAATTCCTATCTCTGCCCTAGGTTCTGCTTTTCCTTTCCTGCCCAGTTACAGGCCATCATCTCTTTATTGAACCAATCAGAAGGTGATGGAGAATAATGTTATAAAACACTGAGACAGGTGATGCTTCATAAAAATTACAATACCAAGGTCTGGCCTGAGCTCAACTCTGCTGATACAGAAATCAACTTTTGAATAATACAAAGACAACTTTTATATAGTATACAAAAAACATTATTTGATAATGGTGTTTTACCACAGCAATAGACCAACCTTAGCTTGGTCTACTATGTCCTTACTTAGATGGTCTCATTTGAAAAGAGTTCTGCACTTGAGTACTATACAGATGATACCATCTCTTTAAAGGAAATTAAAGCAACCAGAATGTCCAAGAAGCTGTATAGATTTTTCAAAAATGGTGACGTTTATTAAGCTTTCATGCTTCTCAGACCTTTTTTGCTGTTGTTGTTGGTGATCAGTTTGTCTGTGAGCAGGTACTTGGCAATCCAGGAGACACTGAAATTCCAATAGAAATCTGTTCCAAAGCATGTGCCACTATAACTACTCCTGAATCAGAGCAACCATGGGGTGTTGACATGAAAAGGCTTCAGAAATCAGTGTCAATAATGACAGATAGCCCTTGAACATAGAAAATACTTCCTAGAAAAATACACACACACACACACACACACACACACACACACACACACACACACACACACATATATATATATACAAAAACAGACAACAAAAAACCCTTGCCTTTATCATTGTAAAAATTGTACATATGTGTATTTCAGTTTTGCAGAGAGGCCAGCAACACCTAATATTAGGAACAGCAATACAAACCAATGTGAACAGGTGTGTAGGCCATCTAACTGAAACTAGCTTGGCCTCTCATTCTGGAGCAGGTAAGTGGGGTCTACAGCCATGATCTTACTCATGGCAGCTTTGGGTACTGTTTGGGATTGAGTTGTATAAGATGAAAAGCAAACAGCTTGACAAGTGGAAAAGGCCTTTTAAAGTGTATTAGAGACGATTTTTGTTTTGTTATTGTTGTTGTTTTTGTTTATTTGTGTTTTGTACATTTTTGGAAGAAGACTGCTGAATAGAAATGAAGAAAAAAGCAAGTATCACCAGGAAAGCTTACGGGGGCAACGGTTCATACACAGGGCCACAATGGTTGTTCTAGAGAAGAGCCCCAAAGAGAGACCTTTGAGGAGGGATGAAAGAGGGGAAAGAAGGGATGTTTTCTAGAAACGGGGAACTCTGGTAAGTGATGGAAGAGAGGAAGAAGGGTACTCTCTAGAAAAGAGACTCTCATTTGGGGAGCAATGTGCTTTATAAATATTGTATGGAAAACACTTTCTGATATTTACCAGAAGCCTAGGACATTTAACTTTCTGAATGATCATATTGAAAGCCACAGGCTAGTTTAGTATTTAGATGTCATTTGTTCTCCCTCATGTGTCTAGAAAAACTCTAAGGTAGATGTAGGTCAGTATATGAGATGTGTATTAATATAATGCTAATTGGGAAATAAGCAAGCCATAAATACCAAGAAGATAGCAGAAGTAGGTCCAAATGGACAACTGGGAAGAGGAAAATCCATAGACAAGACACACACTCGGCTCCAACTCTCAGGAGGTGTGAGGCTTCAACATCCAAAAAAAAATTATCTTCGATGAAAAGCGATCAAATGGGGCTAGAAAATATTTCCATAGCTAGAATGGCTGATATCAGAAGAATGAATCAAATTCAGCCTCAGTACATGAACATAAATAACCCTGGGCCACAGGCAGTGTCCATGCTGTTGTCCAAGTGTTTATAACCATTGGTGTTCAAAACTGGAAGCACAAATAAGTCTAGTTCCCTAAGGAGCCTGCTGATCTTCGCATTGTCTTTATCACTGAGTAGAATCTGGGAATTAAAAGAAACATCTGGGATGATTCTACAAACAAATCTTTCTCTTCTAATTTTCTGTAAATCTCAGCTTAACTCTAAGAGCCATCAGGTCCTCCTTAACTGACATGGACATTTTGAGTAGCTGCTCTCACATTTGATTGCAGATAGTGTCATCTGACAGATCTGCTAAAGCCCCTGTCTGCGTGTGGTGGCTCACCAGTAATCCTAGCACTCTGGAGACAAAACAAGGGAAAAAGACCTCAAGTTCATGAACTACATAATGAGTTTGGGACTAGCCTGGGCTAAGTAGTAAGACTTTGTCTCAAAACAACAACAAAACAGACTTTCAAGCTGTGTCTGTCCTCATCCCCTGGACCCTTGAAAGTTTATAATTCACTAGGTGTGAGATGGAGCTAATTTGTATTTCTCCCTGTTGGCATTTCTGCTGTTGATTTTAGAAATGACTCTTCCCAGGTTACTTTTTATATTTGTGTTTCCAAAAAGACTAATAAAAAATATATTAAAGTTGTCTTATTCCCTAAAGGGAGGAGAAGAGGGAGAGTGCTTTCCTTATGGGAGATCTCTTGTCCCACACAACAAACACATGAGTTGTCATTTCTATGCTCCCATAGTAGATGAGAAGCTAGGTGAAATATATCTCAGTGTTTGAATTTTTTCCTAATACTATTTGACATGATTCAATAGTATCTCTGACCTTCACTATGCATATTCTTCTACATTAGGTAAGTTTACCTTCCAATAAAAAATGATTTTGGATGCAGTGGAATGAATTCAGGATATTCAGTTTTTGTCAAGGCTAATTCCATTTTACTTGAAGGGAGGGGCTAACTCACGACAGTTACATCAAGTATGCTTCTAAAGAGCCCAGACGTGAACAGATACTCAGTGGCATGATTTAGTATTATGAGGCAACTAAAGACAGTACCTTCTTTCAGAACCACTGGCAAAAAGCAGGAGCAATCCATTCTCTGGCCTGAATTTCACAGTCCATCCAAATAATCTTGGGATTGCTGAATGATAAGCTGATCTAGAAGCGACATTCAGGATCCATAACCAAACAATCACTAGTATAAGCACCAAGCAAAGTCACCAGGGTTTTAATCCCTAGAGTGCCCTTTCTTACTTCCCTCTGGGATTCACAGATGGTGGCAAGGATACTGATAGAGACACCCATCAATGTAGTCCTTTCCTCTTCTACCCTGTTCTCCTGCCCAAGGCCTTGATAACTGTCCTCAGAACCTTGCAACTGATTCTCCAGCACACCCATTCAAAGCATCATATTTCCTGTATCATTTTGTTCATTTTGCAACCCATGGTTGCAAATAAAAGCAAAATATACAGTGGCTCTCAACCTTTATCACACATAGAATCATTTGACAGGCCTGGATGTGGTGGCATATGCCTCTAACCCCAACACTCTGGGGAAAGACAGAGGGAAAGTTACTTGAATTCAAGTGTTCCATAAGCTCCAATGCATACATAATATGCTTCAGGCTTTATACACATAGCTCATCCAGAGAGGCAAAATGTATCAGCCGTGATGTTCAAGAATCAAAACTATTTCACAATGGATCAACCCTTCATTTAACCCTCCCCAAACCATGAGTAGATGAAAGTCCACACCTCTGTGCACTGCTTGCTGAATTTCCAGGTTACTCCTCTACCCACAGACATCTGCTTTCTTCCCTACGTGCCCATTTCTCATTCCTGATGATGTCTTCCTCACTCCTGGAAGCAATCTGCTCTCTCCCTAAAGGTGCGTGGAGTTACACTGATAATTATGTATTCTTTTTGGTGGAGAAGGGGCTCTGAAAAGCTCCAGGCTGTAGTAGTTGTATCTGCCTTAGATTTGTTAATGGCCTAGACCAGGCTACTTGTCAAAGTCTTGGGAAGAGAACTGATGAAGGCTCTTTTCCTCCACGTAAGATTCCTACAAGCTGAGGCAAAAACATAGCTGGGGTTTTCATATTCAAGGGACTTACTTCTCATAGCTTCCCCTGCCTCTCAAGGATTCCAGGATTCCTGATACCCTCTTACCCCCAATTTTCTTCTAAAATTACCCATTTTATGATCATATGTGAGTTAATTGAGTGATTATCTTTATTATCCTCTTGTTATGATTGCATTATTTTACTTATCCTTGTCCTGGGCAAAGGAAGTTGAGGCATCTCAGCTGATTCAGCCTAGAGTTTGTCTATCAAAATTCAGGCTGACTGGTGCCAGTTCCTTAACAACACCAATCAGTCCACCTCTCAGTTAATTCTGTCTGAGGCAGTGATTTTGGTTCTTGCATAGCTACCACATCCCCTGTGCCTGTGCCTGTGCCTGTGCCTGTGCCTGTGCCTGTGCCTGTGCCTGTGCCTGTGCCTGTGCCTGTGCCTGTGCCTG